GGCTAGTTTTTTGTATTTTTTAGTAGAGACGGGGTTTCACCGTGTTAGCCAGGATGGTCTCGATCTCCTGACCTCGTGATCCACTCGTCTTGGCCTCCCAAAGTGCTGGGATTACAGGCGTGAGCCACCGCGCCCGGCCAATGTTTTCATTTTTAGATGTATCAATACCAATTAGAGTGATCAACCAAGTGGATTTTTTTCATTTTCACGTTGTTAGTTTCCTTTCAGTGACCTTCATATCTGCACCATCCATTTACAAACCTTGTCAAGGAAAGTTTGAGGCTCAAATGCCCAAAAGACAGCAGAACGCTGTTACCTCATTGCTGGCAAAGCGCGCCAGTCCCAGTGTGGTGTGCACACGGCGTGGTGACGCCCTTGGCTCCTCAGGGCTCCCGGGGAGGGGCTGCATCTCCTTGCTGTCCTCACCGCCCAGTTCTCGGTGCTCGAGTGTGAAACGCACCCCGGGCCACCCACCCAAAGACGCAGGCCCAAGACTTCGCTGGGATGCAGAGTCCTCACCCTGCGTCCCCCACATTTACCCCAGACCCCACAGGAGCGTGAAATGCCCCCATGCCACTGTTCTTTTCTTCGCCGTTATAGACAACTTCTGAAATCTTGACTCTGTTCATGAAACAAACCAGCTGACAAGATGGCGAAGGTGGCAGGGTGGCATCCCCAGACCCCGTGTGCCTTCGAGATGACCATGGGACGCTTTGGCCAAAACGGTGGGCACCGAAAGACCACGCAGTCTGGGCCATTTCTTTCACGCGTGCGCCATCCTGTGAGACAACTCTGTCATTCTTCCCTTCTTCTGATTTCGTCCTTTTTGGCAGAGTTGGGAATAACCAGTGAGTAAGGATGAAATAGTCCTGGAATCGTGAAAAAGCAAAATGATTCAAGACATAGGAAAGACCACAGAGACCCTCGTGTGTGTTTGATTTTACAGAAGGTTCCCACAGACCCAACAGGCAGCCACAGGACAGAAGGAATTTTCTTTTTTTGGCTTCAATTTTCTCATTGTTCTGGGAGGAAAGAACCTCCAAGAAAGAATGAAAGTCATGAAATGCTACTCCTTACAAGTAATAAAAACACGAAGAAAAGAAGCTGAACTGGAAACTGAACTGGGGTGGGGAGGTGGAGCTGACCTGCAGCAGCCTGGGAGCCCATGGTGGGGTCGGAGACACGCTCAGTTGACCTGGGGGGCGCCGTGCGTGGATCCTGCTCACCGTCCTCAAAAAGGAAGCTCCACTCAGGGGTAGTTTCGTTTTAAAGTCTTCAGAGTTTGCTCTTCTGAGAAGTGCGTTTCCACGTTCAAATCCTTTTGCAGAAAGACAGGTGCCGTGGCCGTGTTGCCCTGGTTGAGCACCAGCCTTCATGGCAGGGTGTCCCTTGTACCCCAACCCCGCACCTTCCAGGAGGCCGTGGGGTGCCGTGGTTAGAACTGGGGCTGTGCTACAAAGCACCACAAAACTGGTGGCTTAGAACAACAGGAATGTATTCTCCCCCGTCTGGAAGCAGAAGCGCCAGAACAAAGTGCTGGCAGCACTGGGCTCTTCTGAAAGCTCCCTCTGAAAGCTCCCTCAGCCCTCCCGGCTCCTGGCGGGAAGACGCTGGCTGTGGCCGCATCCTCCCATCGCCTCCTTCAACATTGGCCTTCTCTCCCCTTCTTCGTCTCCTCTTCCCACAGGGACCCTCATCTGGGACTTTTAGCTTGATCGTCTGCTTTGTCTCCTCCTCCCATAGGGACTCTCATCCGGGACCTTAAGCATCTGCTGCCACCTGTTTCCAAATGAGGTCCCATTCCCGGTACCAGGAGTGAGGACTTCAGCTTGTCTTTTAGGGGATGCAGTTCAAGCCACACGGGGCGGGCGGGGCCCAATCCACGCGACCCGGCACCTTCAACCCTGTCCTCTGTGAAGACCAGGACTAAAGACTTTCTGCTTCCTGGCGGTTGTCTTTCATTGACTTGCGTTCTGTGCTCCGTGTCCTCAGTGGGTGCCGTGGACTTGGTGTTTGTTACTGGTGGCACTGAGGATACAGGGCTTCCTGCTGTCACAGATGTGGGAAGGCCAGGTGCTGTTCCCGTTCCCTCAGTCAGGGACTCACAGCCCACCCGTGGCACAGCCCCTGGGGCATCTGGAGACTCCTGCCCCACTGGGCACCGTGCAGCAGCCCCCTCATTGCCCAGCCCTGCCTGGCAGGAGCCATGCATTCCACGTGATCCGTCTCCCCTCCTCTCTTCCAGCTCTGATCCGGTATATACGGCCTGTGTTCGTGTCCCGGTCAGACCAGGATTCTCGCAGGAAAACAGTAGAAGAAATCAAGAGACGGGCGCAGTCAAACGGAAAGTGGCCGCAGGTAACGCACGCAGCCCTGATTGTGTTTCAGTGGTTTTATTCTGAGAGATGCGAACTTCGAGAGTGGGGGGGAAGAAACCGGGGCCCTTCCTCTGGGGCTGGATTCCGAATCTCTTCTCCTAGTGAGTACGTGAACTCAGGAGGGTGCTGCCAGGCACATTTGGTTTTGGCACCCAAAATTTAAAGTTAAAGTAAGGAAAAACAATTCTCAGACGCATCTCAGCTTCCTGAGTCATCTTTTTTGAACTAAGTTCTGACTCAGAGCATTGCTCATCCACCCTCCTGTTGCAGTCTGATTTTGGAGTTGATGTGTCAGCCTGCTGTGTGTTGGGTGGTTCCAGAAGTCCCGGAGCAAACTTCCTGGTCTGTGTGCCGGTTCCCAGGCATCATTCAGAAACCCTGACCCCAGCTGTAGGGGCAGCTCGGCCGACATGAGCTTGGACGCTCTTTTCCTTCCGACTGAGCCAGCATTAGAAGCTGGACACTCACAGAACTGTCTGGGATCTGATTGCTCAGGAAGCTTTGCAGGGTCTGGCTGGAGCTGGCCCCTTAGAGGGTTGTGACTTCCAGGATGCCCCAGCTCTGCCCCCACAAGCACAGGCAGCCTCCTCCCCCACCCAGTTGGCCTGCCTGGCCCTGGGCTTGCCAGGGTGAGCCCAC